CCTTATCGAGGACGCCTTCCGCTGGCGTCCTCTTCGCCGGGCTCACATGGCGGCTCCAGAGCAGAGAGCAGGAGGAAGAGAGGAGAACAACTTCCTGTTTGTCCCTGGTTATAAGACAAACATATACACAGAAGGACCTCCCCCATAGGAGCTGCAATCCCCGGGCCGTGTCCGTGGTCCTTTGGGAAGAAGGTATGTTACAGTACTGGAGCGTTCCCATTAAGTGGTGTTCTCTTACTGTTCCTTCCAGCTCTCCCAGGCCAAGTCCGGAAAGTTCAACCCACACGTCCATGTAGAGTATGAATGGAACCTGCGTCAAGACGAGATGGACGAGAGTGATGACGACCTGGACGACAAAGTGAGTGCGGAGGGCGTGTGCCCAGGAGCCCCTCACCCTCCCAGGGTTCCCCAGGCCGCTGTGCATGGCATGCAGGCATGCACCGATTGGGGCCTTGGGACCTCATGAAGCAGTTTGGTCCCTGTCAGTTGCCGCTTGACACTGGACAGTAGAACCAATGGAAAGATCAAGAACGAGGCAGACATTTGAAGGAATTGGCGCATGCATTTGAGGGGCCGGCCAGCCAGCAGGCTGCAAGTCCCAGCAGCAGGTGGCAGAGTTGAGGCTGAAGGGGGTCCAGAAGCCAAATTCCTTGCTCTTTAGGGACCTGTGGTCACTTTTGCTTAAGCACTTCAGCTGAGAAGATGAGGCCTGCTGACATTTACAACTTAAATCCTCCTGATTTAAGTCGCAGTCACCCTGAAAAGCTGTATTTACACTGATGCTTAACTGGAACTCCATAGCCTAGTCAAGTTGTAGAATTAGCCATGTAAACAACTCACTAATCAATACTTGTAATTGTCACTTACAAGGGATTTGCATGCGGTCTAAGTTGAGCGAAGTATTTTTCTGTCAACTCAGACTGCCTTTCTGAAACTCACAGGGGTGTGGTTGCTCTTCCCAGAGAAGGCTTACCTACAAAGATGACTTGGCATCTTGTCTGAACCCTCCTAGCTGAGAGAGGCCATCTCCAGGATTAATAAGCCCAGGTCCCCTGTGACTCCCGTGGGTGGTGGTGAACGACCTCCGAAAGTTCAGCCCTGTGTTATCAGGAGACGTGCGCCAGGCACCTCCTGTGTGCAAGGCAGGAAGTAAGGGCTCTCCATTCGGGTGACAGTGTTGTGGTGAGACCCAAATCGTCAGCCTTAGTGAGCCCTGACCACCTCATCAAGGAAGCAGAGAGGTTAGTTTGGTCAGCTCATGAAGAGTGGGGGAGCATCCCCAGGAGGAAGGGGAGGAGATGCCCTGAGGAGTCAGGAGTGGGTTTTTCAGGCCCAGCCTTTTATATTTAGCTGCCACTTTGGAACGCCCTGTTGGTCCCTGGCCATCACTCAGTAGTGGTACTGTTCGTGAAGAGGGTGTAGGAAGTATAAAGTCTTCACTGCGTCACAACTGTGAAGCGGTGGCGACGGCTGGCATACCACACAGAGAGCCGCTGGAGCCAGGTGACCCCTGAGCCCACTCTGCAGGGGTCCCCTGGACACCTCAAGGACAGCCCCTTGAGTCTCATCTCGTCTGTTGTTTTCCGGTACCAGCCAAGCCCCATCAAAAAGGAGCGGTCACCCAGACCCCAGAGCTTCTGCCACTCCTCCAGCATCTCACCACAGGACAAGCTGGCGCTGCCCGGGTTCAGCACTCCGCGGGACAAGCAGCGGCTCTCCTATGGAGCCTTCACCAACCAGATCTTCGTCTCTACGAGCACAGACTCACCCACGTCACCCACCACCGAGGCCCCCCCTTTGCCACCCAGGAACGCCGGGAAAGGTATGGGCTTGAGTGCTTGTGGGCTTGACCTCACAGCTGCTAGTCTGGCTGAAGTGGCAGAATACGGAGCATACTGTCAGGGACAGCCCAAAATGGCGACGGTGTCGTCTCTCAGGCGCCGGTAGCGGGAAAGGTAGTATCATGGCTGTTCTTGGTGTGTTCTTGGTGGCTCGCATGAAGCTCCTGTGAATTGTGTGGTTTTTGTGCCCACCCTACAGAAAGAGAAGCTCGGATTAAAAGAGATGAATGGCTTTTCAGTGTCACACAGCCATTAGGTAGTTGAGCCTCCATCTGAGTGTCACGTGACCCGAGCTCTTTGTAGCAGGGATAACGCTTGGTTCTTTGAAAGGCTACTTTCCTCTGTGCTGAGGTGCCTCTGTCAAACACGTGGCTGTCTGGACTAAAGAGGAAGCCCAGTTGGCAAAAGGCTTGTCTTTTGTATACGGGGCCCTGGGTTTGATCCCCAGCATTGTGTAAAATTGCACGATGGCGATCGCTGTTCTTCCATATATTCCAACCTTCATGCTTTCTGTTTGTTTGGTGGATTGGTTTTGTTTTGTTTTTCGAGACAGGGTTTCTTTGTGTAGCCTTGGCTGTCCTAGA